TGTGGAATGATTAGGCTGCAGTGTCAGGGACAAGTTAAACTAGAACAACAAAGGACCTCCTTAACCTTTACCTGGACACAAGGCCATTCATAATGACTTGCATGGTTTGGAAAACTAAGTATATCTTGCAGCACTCAATACTTCTGCAGCTACAGCAAATGAGCAGAAATGGAAAAGATGGATTGCTGAAGGAGATGAAATGTAATTCAATTCTGCATAGTCCTGTTTAGAATACCGAGTTCAGGCCTGTGTCAAAAAGTGGCAAAGGCATCATCATTTTCTTCAGAGCAAAGCAGGAATTTTAAAACCGGACACAATAGATATCCACGGGTGAAAGTTCTATTTTTCAGGTGGCCTAACAAATAATGCTGACCCCGGAGGAGCCTTCCTCATTTGAAGTGTGCACGACGCCCTTATTAATGCTGATAACAGCCAGTTGCCCCAGTGAAAAGGTCCTCAAATGGCAAGAGGGGTTACAAAGCCCCGCAAAGCCGGGAGCAGTGGTGCTGACAACACTCACGCCCCTGGATCACTGGGTGAGGAACCACGCATCTCTTGTGTAGTGCTGCCTGGGGTTTTTGGTGCAGCAGTGCATTTGCAGTTTTCTAGCAGATTCAGATGTTGTTCTCCTGTTCTTGATGGTCACCATTAAGCCTCACGAATGAGTCAGTGCACCTGGGGTGGCTGCTTTGAGGAGGTGCCTAACCAAGGCTCTCCGTTTGTAGGGCTGAGCCTGTCTCTGTGCATCACCTGGCCCCTGCTGCGGGTTTGGGGGGTGCCTGTGCCCGCAGGCTCCCCTCCTCCCAGCTGTCGTTAGTGCCCAAACCCAATCGTGCAGCCCAGGCAGTTCTCCGCATGTGAAGGGAGGTAAAGGCCCTTCTTCCAGGAAGCTGCCATTCAGGTCGTTGCGAAAATGTCTGCAGAAAGAAATTAAAATAAGCAGTACATGATGGGAGAGCTGAAGAAATGATACAACATAAGCATCTGAGTGGGGTTATGCACAAGCATGCTGCACAGGGAGGGGGAGGCCAATTGCTGATGTGGTGCATTTGCTCTCTCGTACTGTGTGACCTTCTTGAACTCAGTGCTCTGAAGTGTCCCTAAGCTGCAGAGCTTGGAGAAACCACAACTGGCATCTTGTCTTTGCTCCTGTCTAGCTAAGGCTCCTGAAAGCCACAGGATAAAGAGAATTCTTGTTCTCTTCTGCCTTGATGTAGATGATGAGTGGGAATTTATGTTTTGAGCTAAGCATACCTGCTAAGTTTGAAAATAGCTGCAGCTGACCTTTCTTTCTTTCTTTCTTTCTTTCTTTCTTTCTTTCTTTCTTTCTTTCTTTCTTTCTTTCTTTCTTTCTTTCTTTCTTTCTTTCTTTCTTTCTTTCTTTCTTTCTCTCTCTCTTTCTCTCTTTCTTTCTTTCTTTCTTTTTCTCTCTTTCTCTCTTTCTCTCTTTCTCTTTCTTTCTTTCTCTCTCTCTCTCTCTTTCTTTCTCTCTTCTCTCTTTCTTTCTCTCTATCTTTCTTTCTCTCTCTCTTTCTCTCTCTCTCTCTTTCTCTTTTTTCTTTCTCTTTTTTCTTTTCTTTTCTTTTCTTTCTCTCCGTACTTACTATTCTTCCTTCCTTCCATCCATCCTTCTCTCTCCATTTCTCTCTCTTTTTTTCCTTTCTTTCTTCTTTCTTTTTTTTTTTTCTCTTTTTCTTTTTGAAGCGCCCAGTAAAGCATGTCCTTTCCATTTGGGTACAAATTGCTTTGCTGGCTTATATGTTTATAGTGAGGTTTGTGTTTAGCTTCATGCCCCCCAGAAGCAGTTGCCTCTGTTCTTCTCATATTCTCTATTCTCCAGTTTCCCTCTGAGCAGACAGAAGAGAAATGCTTCTTAAAATCTCTGCTCAGCCCAGCACTGGTGAAGCCGCCCCTTCCAGGGGCCAGCTCAGCTCACTGTACCGTCTCCCCAGAAGGTTTCAGCTGCTTCCTCTGGCATCCTGGCTAGCCCATGTTCCACAGGCACAAATACTGGGTCTGGTTCAGCTGTTGATTTGTCAACCAAGAAACAAAAGCCATGGCGAGCCTGGTTCTTTTTGTCTGTGCTGGGCAAATGGCTCTCCTTTCACAGGAACAAGGTGTGGTGATCCTGTTGCAACTCTCTCTTTCACATTGGAGGCTTTTCCTTTTAATGAACGCAGTCCAACAAAATTACAGCATGTCTTCTGCTAAAAGGTGTTTGTTACATTTCACGGGCGTGAGTTAATTCAACAATAACTGCATTACCCTAGTGCTATTACAAAATAATACTAATTTTTGTGATGACAGCGTCAAGAACCAGTCATGGATAGGGGCACTGTATACGTGCTAGTAATAAAATGAGCTATAAGAAGTGGAACAATGTTTGGGTGAACTAGATTAGTATCACAAATAGACAAACCAGAACAGCTGGCGCTGGATTCAAATTTTCCACTGCTTACCTGGACTCCTCAGGTCCACAAAACTAGAAGTGTCAAGGAAAGTCTTCCCCTTCAGACTGGGACACCCTACTCGTACCTGCCATCTGCCTGTTGTTATTCTCATAGATTTTTTTTTTTTTTTTTTGACTCTTGCATTCATATTTTGCTACATGTGTTTTACTGCTCCTTTTTATCACTCCTAAATTGCTTTGTTGAAAATATTATCACCGCATGCTGTCTTTGTCTTCTGAGCTGATTTTGTGCAGTTTCTCTAACATCAAGGAAATACGAGGGTTTACTGTATAAGCCTTTATTAACTGCTCAGTCCCTTGTTTAGCCTGTGAATGACAGTGAGGTTTTCTTTGTCACTCACATGCTGCTTTCATTTTGTCATATCAATATTGCAGCAAATTAATTAACTCCTGTTCCTTTTTTTGTTCGTTTAAATCAGAGGGCAGGCTGTCTAGGATTTCTGTAGGAGGCAGGATGGAAGGGCACCCTTGTACTACTCCGAGTTCTAGGGCTAACTCAGTGTGCCAGTGGGTGAAATCACCTGGAGCAAATCTTGCCTCCCATCTCCAGAGGTGTGGGCTTCAGATGTGAGAGCCTGTTTTCCTATGAGGCAGGATTTGGAGGTGTTATGTAGGGTATCATGTGTGAGGGCACTACAAGCCTCTACTTGTATGACAGGCTTTTGGGAGCAGGATCCTTGCTGTTGTTGCAGGACACCTACAGCTTGCCCTTTGTACAAAACTGGCCAAAGGAAGTTTTATCCGGAACAATTACAGTCTCCTAAAATTACAGGCATTTGAAAAGAGGGTAGAACCTAATATCACACACATGAGCCAGCACCACTGTTCAAAGAGGATGAAAGAGGGCCATCATATCCTAAATAACACTGTAAAAGAAGAGAGATGTCAAATATGCCAAATATTTCATGCAAATACTGCATGGAGCAGGCTGGTTTGCTCAGGACCATACAACTTTTATGGGCACAAAGGGTTTAATGTTTACAACTTTTTTTTGTTGTTTGTTTTTAAGTACTGAAACTGTAGAAGTGTAAACCTGCCATAACATTTTAAAATGAATAATATTTTTACTGATAGCTCTTCAACAGTGATGATCTTAGAAGGCTTCCAGTGCTGTGATTGCTCTGCAAGAGAGCGTAGCCAGCAGAGAGGGGAATTCCTTCACAGTTCAGATGTTCTTAGGATCAGACATCCACTTCCAAAAACTAGCAGTCTCTGCAGACACCAAAAGATCAGCAACCTCCAAACAATTTCAGACAAATCATCGTTTTGTGTCAGAAGAGGCTAGAGGGGATGTTCAGAGCAGCATATTAAATATAAAGCAGATAAGGCATCCAACACCCAACAGAGTTTGGCAGATTCCTCTCTCTTATTTTGTTCCCAGTTAAACATTTTATGTTTCTGACTTTGACTCATAGTGCACTGGATGTACTTTTTGTTTAAAAGAGATTATGAAAAGAAGCCGACAGGGTGAAGAAGAGAAAAGGGTGAAGAAGAGAAAAGATACGGTCAAAAGAACTGAGGGAAGCTGAAGGGAGGAGGAAGAGTAAAAAAAAAACAAGGAGTTGCTCGGAGAATAACTAAGGTGGTCAGGGTCTGGCTGAGCCATGACTGCAGACTGGGCTCACTGGGTACTTCACAGCAGAGGTTATTGTGTCTTCAGAGCATCTCTTCCTGACGGCTAGCACAGGACACAGGGATGGAAGGGACCTTGAAGCCGGTCGTTGTGCGTATCTGTCCATTCTAGGGCGACATCTCCTGTAGCAGGAGAAACTCCGCATGGTTCTTGCCAGTCTGTTCCAGAGCTTGACTGGTTTTGCTGTTGAAAAGACTTTTCCTAATCTGTGACTTGAATCTTATTTGCTGCCAGCTTCTTCTTGTCCTTTTGGTCATGGGCATGGAAAACAGATTGTTCCTTTCCTCTTCTGCAGCCTTTTTTATACACCGGAAGGCCATTCTCATTTCTCCCCTCAGTCTTCTCTTTAGAGCAAACAGCCCCACTGTGTTCAATCTCCCCTCACAAGTCATGGTTTTTAGACCTCTGACTGTTCTCCCTTTCCTCTGAAATCTCTCCAGTTGGGCCATGCCTTTGGTGAAGTGCGGTGCCTGCAGGAGAACACAATGCCCCGGGTGAGGCCTCCCTGGCACTCAGCAAAGTGCAAGCGTTGCTTTACGACTCTTCCAGACTCTACTTCTGTTTAAACATCGCAGTATGGCATTTGCCTTTTTCTCAGCTGCATACTATTGTCCATGTACATTGAGCCTGTGATCCACAGCCCCTAGTCCTCTGGTTTCTTTTCTGTGGAGCTGCTATCCTGCCAATTGTTCCCTCTTCACTGCTCGTGTAGGATAATGCACAGGGTAGATGGAGCAAACACCTACTCCATCTCCTCCTGCCCCCAAATCCACTTAATGTCAATTTTGTGCTTTTCCTACTTAACAGAGTCCACACATTGAGGGAGTGTTGAATATCAAATGGAAGAGAAGAGTTCTTTATTAAAATAACAAGGATACAATAACATAGCAGGTACACAAAAGCAGGCAGTAGTGCACAGGCTTAGGTTTAGCCAGTAAAACACTGGACTTCGCTTTAGTTAATGGTTCTTCTTTTGAAAATCAAAAGCACTTCAGCTACAGGAAAACAGAGCCGAACTTGCACTTCTTTAGCAAACCTGGGTGATTTCCTCAAGCTGGTATGTCTCTTGCACTTCATATTTTTTTTTTCTTTTCAGAGTTAAGGCATGCTCACTGTTTCTTTGGGCTGGAGTCTCCTTCCTATGCAACATGAGGTCTGTTCCTTCCTGGTGTTGGTCTGTGACTTGGCAATACAAATAATAGGAGCAAAGGACAATTATCTAGAGTGTTGGGGATAATAATTTCTAGCTCTCCAAGCAGGTCATGTCTTAGCTCCTTCCTAGTGATTTTACCAAAATAGATTATTTATCTCAAAATCTTTTCTCATAGTTATGGAATATGCTTGGAAGCAGGAGATACCTCTGCCTACGTTTTACTTTAGGCAGAAGGATACTTTTAGTGGGAATTTTTCATGTGTGCTCCCCAGCCGGAGAACATGAAGGTTCAGCTTCAGGGTACCTGACTGTGGCAGTGGCTCCTACCAGGGGAGTCAGCACATCAAAATGTAGCTTTCTCTGGCAGAATAATGGAGATCTGGTACAGCACCTTCTAATTTTTCAAACAGCACAAAGTGCAGTTCCAAATTAACCAGCACACCTCCACTTTAATTTTTCATTTTACTTAACCTCTCTGTGTCTGTTTCCCCATCTGTAAAACTGAGATAATACTTACCTACCTCACAGGGATGTTATGAGGATTAATTAATTGATGTTTGTACAGCGCTTTGAATATGCAAAGCACTAGATGCGCTAAGTATTGTTATTTAGTTTAAACGCAACTGAGCAGGCTTTGAATGCTGGGAGAAAGCTCTGTCACTGACACCAATCTATCACAATGTGGCTAATGACACAGCTTGGGGAACCAGGTAGACAATTTTCTTATTCTGTGCCATAATTAGACAAGATCTGTAACCAACCAACAACCCCCCCCAAAAAAAACAACAAACAAAACAAACAAACCAAAACAAAACAAAATCAAACAACAACAACAAAACAAACAAACAAACAAACAAAAAAACACCAAAACCACACCTCTGCAAGACTTGCAGGGATTGACCAGTACAGGACCACTGCAGAAATCCCAATCCAAATACAGCACAGCAGGATCAGCCAGGCACAAATGAATCAGCCACAAAAGTGATCAAGCTAGGATGTGAATTAAGAGCATTGGTAGGACTGGCAGAACCCAGTAGTGCTCCATGGAAAAAGTAGAGCATTGTCTGATGTCAGAGCATGAATAAATATGAACAATATATGTAGGGAGGTATTTCTGCTCAGAGTAGCATTCAGCCCAGCTTCTGCAGACGTAGCTAAGAGCAGAACCTGCCCCCTGCTTGTGTGCAAAAGGTCTCCAGGCTGGCATTTGTTCTGGCTTGGCAGTAAGTGATGATAGCCCCAGCAGCAAAGGAGATGCAAAAGGTTGGTTCAGAACTGCTAGTGTGGGATGTGTGTTTGTGCACTGGGGCAGAGGAACTTCTTCCAAGAAATACAAGGAGTTACTCTATAATTTTTCTCTTGGATACAGATTTATTTCAGTTTTAGTAGTTCGTATTCAAATTCATCAGGGGTAATTAATGAAAGATATAGGAAGGCCAGCACACACCTAGGATCCTCTGTTTGTAGCTTGAATTATGTTGAGCTGTTTGGTCTATTGGTTCACTACCTCAAGCCTAGTGCAGTATTGTCATCCTTTGCTTTACAACACAGTCATTATATCCCTAAACCACATTGTGATACACTGTGGCTTCTGTTTACGACTCCCGAAACTCCCACTCCATATATCACCTGCCATAAAACCCATCAAACTGCTGCTAGTAAAATGGTGCACAGTGGTCTAAGTAGGAGCCAGGCAAATTGTGTGATACCCTACTGTGGTTAATGAGAGTGAAAATGTGGTTAGGATTTTATTCAGGCGATGTTCATTTGCAGGGCCATTGTAGTGAGGTGGCAAAGAAAAGAGTCTTTTGTTAACCTGAATGACAATATATTTTCTATTGTACGAAGTAGCTGAATGCAGAGTTTGCCAAGTTATACATCAATTGTAAATAAGTCAAACTGTGACCTTGAATGGCTACATTTTTATTGCTTGGGGGTCTTGAAAACTAATTAATACGCTGAGATGTTATAGCAAGCATATGAAACCTGTTACCAGAATTTAAACCATTACAGAGCAATTCAGACCAGTTGTTGATGACTACAGAAATATAAAAAGTAATCTGGATGCGTGTGTCAGGAAGACTTTCCTCCTTTTCTATTAGATGGCTGTTTGAATGGATGCGCCATTTGATTGTCAGGACTTGTAGGGGAAGCATAAATTCTGGCAGAGGTGTGCTCTGTGCTGCGGACCCCAAAAGGTGACACCAAGCTGGGCAGTGAAGACTGCTCCCAGTTTAACCAGTGCTTTTAGCCCCTGAGGCCAACGTCATGTTCAGCTGCATCCCAGTGCTGTTATGAGGTCAACAAATCTTTCTTTCTCCTGCCTTCCTTTTCCACTCTGGCTATGTAGGGAGAAGAGCCAGGCATGTGGGACCAGCTCATGGCCAGGATGGGGATGGGGACGATGAACTAGCTCGTGCTGCGTGACCTAGATTTGTCCAGTGGGATGTGCACGGAGAGCTGGAGCTCCCCACAGCAGGCTTTGCGTCCTCTTGGAGCAAATAGATACAAGAGCAATTTGACAGTCCAAAGGGAGACCATAATTCCACAAGATGCTTAAGCATTTAGGCAATCTTAAAGGTATAAAAAAACCAACCAAACAAACAAAAATGCCACTGAGGCCAATGGAACTTTTCACATGCTTAAAATTAAGCATGTGATGAAAAAAAACAAAACCACCCCCCTTGTTAAATCATGAGTGGTGTAAAAATTGTAAAAGCAATTGTCAGTTGATTAGTTTCCATAGTCCTTGTCATGTTTCTGCTTGTAGTTGTCTCATTCATTAAAGTGCAATGTAGTTATTTTGTTTGTAGGCCTTTTTTTTTGTTTGCTATTTTTAATTACAAGACTACATCTTCAGTGATATGTGGCTTGAAGGCAGGGGAGCTGAGTTTTACTTTAGATTGATATTTTACATACATTTTGCCTTAGGTAAAAAGTTGATTTCCCCTCCCCAGCCAACAGAAAGTAAATTAAGGAAGGCGTGTATAAGAAAAACAAAATTTTGTAGCTGTGTTGTGTGTTTTTTTTGACTGTTTCTGCTGTTGTACAAAAATTACATTAAATTAAAAAGGCCTATTTATAAAACAAACATTTTGTAGGCAAAAAGGAAATGCAACCATAATAAAATTGTCAGTCTCAGCGGAATGACTGTATTGTACTGGGCTTTCGAAGAAAATCAGGCTGGCTCCTTCAGAGGAAATCTGATTTCAATTTAAGAGTCTTATTGAGGAAAACAGCACCACAAAAGGGGAAATTAAACCATAAAAAGTGCATTAAGATAATGTTAAGGATCTAACTTACCACCGCAAAAAAACAAAGCAATCTGAAGTTGAGATAGAAACTTTATCCTTAGCACATCCCCTGGAGCCGAGGTATCGCAGATGCCACCACAAGCGGCAGGAGGGGACAGGAGGTGTGCGCAAGCCGCAGCAAGCTGCGCTGCGGCGTGGCTATGGTTAAGGAAAGGACTGTGTAAAAACGGCACCTTCTCACTCCACAGATCATCTCTGATGTGAATTCTGAGTCGTAGCTGCTTAATCCACTGATTGAAAGAAGCTTTTCCTGCTTTTTGTCCCCAAGGAGCTTAGTGGAACCCATAGCGCTCTACAGAGGCAGCTGGATTCTTTTCTGACTCATGCAGCACCAAGAGAATTGCTACCGAAGGCCCTGGTCCTGCAGTCACTTCCAAGGGCATTGGAGACGCATTGATTTGAAGGAGAAGCAGCTCGCTTTAGCAGTGAGACAGGGTTTAGGTTGAGAGCTTTTTCTAAACATTTTTTTTTTTCTTTTTTTTTTTCTTCAAATATAAATAGTATGACAAATTTAAACCAAAACAAGTACTAATCTGTTACTTTTATAGCATGGAAATGTCTTTAGAATTGCTAATTTTATGGAGGTCTGGCTCTGGATGAGTATAGGATGGGTTTACATCCTGAGTGTTCTGTTGAAAGCACAAGCTGTAGCCCAAAAGTTAGCTGGGGAGCAGCCCTATGGACAGGTCTGCAGGGGGGAATTTCCCTCCTCTTTCCTGTCCTCAGGGGAATGTGTCCGTCTGTCTGCCAGGATGGGCATTTGGTCTGCAATGGGATTGTCTCCACACTAGGCAGATACAGTACACGGGTGCCAAAAAAAACCACAAGGCACAGAGAGATCAGGTGGCACATCCTACTGGCACGGGATGGAGGCTGCTGAGTGTCCCTGGGCTGCAGGGGCCACCTTAACCAGCTAGCTCAAAGGGCTTGCTGCGGTCTGGAAAGTAGAGGAGTGCTCTCAGGAAGCAGCTGTTGGGAAGGGTTTAGGTGTAGATGCTCCTGACATGAAGCAGAGAGGCAGAGGGTGACTTCCTAAGATCTCTTTATACTTTTAAAATGCTTTCAGTAATATTAGATTGTACCCAGGTTTTGAACCTGGGTACAAACCAGGAGTTTGTACCATTTAAATTCTAGGAGTTTTGAACCTGGAGTATACCTTTCCTGGCAGGGTGCATCGTAGGTATTTGATATGGAGAAGAAAACAGGTCTTTGTAAACACCTAAAAAAGTCAAACTCAAATAAAGGCACTGTTGCTTTGGAGTGCGAGAGGATGGGATGGATTTGCAGAGATAATGCCTTCAGAAGTGTCCCCGGCCTGTGCATGATTTGGGAGCTCTGATCCTCTGAGCCCTTCTTACCCTGGTACCACTGAGGTTCTCTGTCTGCACTTCCACCAGCGTAGCTTGTGCATATCAGGTCTCTCTCTCCATGTGCTTCCTGTAGTGGAGAAGCTGGTGTCCTGCCCCGTCCTGTCCCAGCACTCTGCATTCTTAGAAATCTGGAGCTCCAGCCTGCAGTCACTGTGGGAATCAAGCTCAGGATGTTGCAGGTGCTCCTAGCAGAGTGAGGAGAACAGGAGAGCCTGGTAGAACATCTGCGCATCTAGCAAAAACAGAAAGTTTTGAAGAAAGCAGAACATAAGCACAAATAAATAAAACATAAACATAACCCCCTAAACAAAGATATTCATGCATTTACAATAATCAAAATCCCAGGTTAGGCAGATGAAAGAGATTTCAGTGTGTTACAAGTCATAGCAATAATAGCCTTGGGACGCTGGCTGGTCTATTCTATTATGTAAAAGTCTTGCAGCCTTGTAATGGTTCCACAGATTAAGAAGTGCTATGTACTAGCTCTAAATATTTCTTTAAATTAAGACTTTCTGCTTCTAACCGAAATCTCCACTGAATATGATGGTATAATAGGGTGCCCTGTTCCATCTGTGTAAATAACACAGAGAGATTTTCTCTTGTTGAAATACCTGCGTTAAAAAAATGCAGCAATAACTTGAGACTTCAAAGGTCTAACTTCAAAAGATTTCTTGCATTCTGCTTGACGGGACAGCATCTTATGCACACATGCTTTTTCACTGCTAAATGCCTTAATAATGAGCTTGGGTTCAGATTTTGTGAATCAGAGCCAAGTAACTCTGTTTTATTATATTTGCTGGGAAATGAACTAGCTCTGGGTAATTAGGAAAGCAATTTTATTAGCGTCTATTTCATAAAGATTGTTTTTTAATCAGAGTCAGAACTTACTAGAAATGATTCTTTTATTTTTATTGCATGGCTCTCTTGAATGGTACAGGCCTCCATGGGTCTTAACCCATAGCAAAGTCTGCACACTGAAGGCAGCGGTATCACTATTAATCTATAACAATGTTATAAAATAACCCTAGTAGGGTAGTCCCGTAAATAACACTGCAGAAGCTAGTAATTACTGTAGTGTGGTTTACTGCATGATGCTACCCTTGGGCTAAATTATAACTGGCCATGCATTAGTGCACCATAAAGAAGACAACACACAAGGAGCCCATTTTTGTCTGCATCCCAAGACGAGCCATGCCGAAGTGAGGAGCAGCCATCACAAGACCACGGGGAGAGCTGGAGAACAAGTTAGGAGCAGGGTGGAGGAGTTCAGAGGTGACGTAAGGACCATGAGAGAAGATTTTGGTTGAAATCCACTCTTGATTTTAATGTCCTGTAAGAAAGATTTCAACAGAATTAATGATAGGGCAGGGAGAAGTGATAGTGTGAGGAAAGATGAGTAAACCACCTTTCCTTTTCTGGAGGTGGTTTCATAGAAAAGGGAAATGCCACTGTGCACACCAGAGGACAAATAACTGATATTTCTGGTTCACTGGTCAAAATGAAAAAAAAAAAAAAAAAAAAAAAAGGAGGTTTAGAATTGTCATCATGGGAAAACCCATAACAAAATCTCTTTATCTTCTCAGAGAAACAGAAAGACAGATATTTTTATTTAGCTGAATGAAAAGTTTTTCTTTCATTCCAAAACCTTCTTTTATTGTTTAATGTTGGCAAATTTCTAAGCACAAAAGGTTATTTTGAAATGAAAAATCAAAACATCTTTGCTTTCTCAAAATGTCAAACAAAACATTTTGAGTTTTCTGAATGTTTTAAGTTGTTTTCAGTCAAAGTTACTTAGCAAATTTTACCTGAAATGACAAATATTTTTGGTTCCTTGAAATTTCATTTTCTTGGTGAACAAAGAGTAACAACTTCAAGGTGCGTGTAGCCGCAAACAGCCGTACATCTCAGGCTTAGGTGGGCCTTCCAGTGAGTTTGACTCGGAGCTCTCTTGTCATTGCAGAGCAGAGAGGACTTGGCCGTGGCAGATCCTGAGTCGGGACACATTCAGATCCAGGACTGTAACAAAGACAGGTGTCTTCTGAAAAACGTATGCCTGCATTTGTGTTCTCGTCTCGGACAAAATCTGGGTTGAAGGCATTTTCGAGGTAAGATTTTGATTCCTTCTTATATCAGCCTTTGTTTCTTGCCAGAATGAGTTCACTCAGATTTAGTGGTAAAGAAGGCGCGGGTGATAATTTAACGGAAAGGTTGGGAGGAGTGGGCTGAGCTTCTGGGGTTACTTGTCAGGGTTACCGCGTAGCCACAGAGCACAGCCTGCCTTTCTGCAATAGCAGCCATTTGGAAAACGGTGACTATCTGCCTGGCTCCCACATCACTGCAGTTTTGCCAGCATAGTCATGAAGTTTATAAACTTGGTCCAGTGTAGAGACTCTCTGGAAAGGAGGCAGAAGCTGGGAGGAGAGGTGCCGCTTTCTGTTTAAGTCTGTGCTGAGAGGAGAGGAGCGTCCCAAACTTGCGTTCAGCCAGTTTCAGAGAAAAGCACTCAGTACCAAATCTGGAGCTTGACCTGCGCCTGCCCAAGTTCAGGAGATTTGTTTCAGGCCAAATCATTATGAGATCAAGGAAAAAGTTTGTATCAATTTTGAATTGCCTGAACAAAGCAAAAAAGTTTCAGGACTAAAAAGGGAGAAACATATGTTGTGCAGGAGAAAAACATCTTATCAGGAAGAACATGGAGAGAGCGAAGTGACTAACAATGAAGTTTCTGAGAGCTTGCCACAAAAATTTTATAAAGGGAGGCTCCTGAAAACCTTTCAGATGGCTGTAGAGTGATCTCATTCTCTAGGCACAGAGAAAATACAAACCCGAGTATATTTTCTAACTTGTTTCATTTATACTTTACAAAACTGATTTAATTTAGACAAATAATTTGAAACAAACAAACAAACTGCTATCTAGGTGTCAAAAGCAAGAGAGGGACTCAAGCAAATGGCCTTACCTAGGGACAGATGCCTTTTGTCTTCCTCACAATCGATGGCCTCATCTGGTGGTACATGTGGTTCCTACACTTAATAGTTGCAAACCTGCTGGGTGAAGATGAAGGCCGAATTGAGAGAAGGGAAAGAAGCCAGTTCCTCTTCCCGTGGTGCACCCAGCAGGGACAGCTACCAGGGCCTGCTTCTCCCAGAGTATGAGTGCTTAACTTAGCATCCCATACGAGGCATTTCGGTTCACATATACGTACATACATCTAAAGATACAGAGACACACCCACACACGAGGAACAGCAATCAGTTTTATTTCTTTGCTTTGCAGGCATCAGTAAATTGAGTATATTCATGTGAATAGCTTAAATAACGTGTCCTATGATCTAATTGAAAGGGAAAATATTTCCACAAGATGGTCTGATGCAAAAATAAACAGTTTGATTGCTTTTACATGCTCTTCTTTTCTGCAAGCAAAGAGAAATGCAGAAAAATTGCCACATTTCATCATGTAGGACAAGGGGGCCCAGGTGACACCCTGATCAGGTGTGCATGCATAATCATTCCAAAAATAATCACCCTTTTGAATAATTTCACCCCAAATCTTGCAGTTTCAACTTATTCTCTGTGAGTGACTCATAAATCTTTACTGTGAATGTGAATCAAGTTTCAGAGCCGCAGGCTCAGGAGCTTGTTGGATTTATTCAACTTTAGTCTTTATTTATAGACATAAAAGTGTATTATTGGTTGTAACATCCAAACAAAGGAAAACAGATTGTAAGCATCCATTAACGTTTTCCCAAAAGGGAAATCTGGAGTTTCTCCTGGGTCTTTCAGTCTCTCCCTAGTAATATTAAGATGATGTCATAAACTCATAATTACTTTGTGATGCTCTTATGTACTCTGTAGTTGCTTGTTCAGGGATGGTTATTTCCTTTCTGAACAGAAAAAGCTGAATACAAACAGGTGGAAGGAGGCAGATCGGTCTTTGGTGATTTAAGACTTGAAGGACCCCACCATTTTTATTTCACACTATTGCAATAATTTGCTCTGCTCTGCACAAGGACACAGGTGTTTTATGTATTGTTATTAAAATGGTTTTGTTAATACTCAGATATGGGATGCAAACATTTTATAAACACTTCAGAATGACTGGAGCAAAGAGCTATTTGGGGAGCATCAATCTTCAGATCGCGGAGTCTTCACTGCTGAATCAGGCCATAACCTGTTCAGGTTCCATCCAAGAAAGTTTCCACCTGAATTACTTGTGGCCTTAAACCAAAGCCTTGAACGCGGTAGGTGTTCAGCTTGTGAACAGTTGTTTTAAAAAACTCTGAGCATGGTCAGACCCCATTTTTGCACTTCTGCTTTGTTATTATGATAAGAATCCCAGACTGCAAAAGTGTGCGTGGAGGGGAGAGGGGAAGGACTGATCCATGAACCTGGGGAACTCCAGCCCTGGGTGGATGCAGCAGGGCAGGACGGAGCAGGATGAGGGGCTGTGTGTGTGTGTGTGCCCCTACCTTCTCTGAACGTGGGGCTCCCTGGGTGCGCATGATTGCTCCTTGCATGAGGGTGGAGCAGAAATTTGTTTGGGAGGTGTGCTCATCCTGTAACCATTTTTGCTTATAAAAGAGCCTGATGGAGTGCCGAGTGAGTAACTTGAAATGAATAATTGATCTGCTTTTCTCTCTCCTTCTCGTGGAATAGCTGTGAGCACATTGTGATTTCCTCGGATTTATTTGTTATTCAGAAATATCTAATACATTTTTACAGTTTTTTCCCCCCCCCCACTCCATCGATTAGACTTCCCAGGCGTCAGGCTTTGGCTCAGAGAGTCTGGGCTCTGGGCTGCGTGTCGGGTGGGAGCACCAGTCCTGCGTCAGGCTCAGGGCTGTTACCCCCTCCCTGGCACACCAGCAGGGCTGGAGAGGCTGGGACGGGGCTTTCTGTGCCCGTGTCAGGTAGGACTGGGGACATCTGTCACAGGCTGCCACAGGGTTTTGTGGTTCTGTCAAGCTCTCTACTCGCTGTGGTCAGTGGGCTAAGCCATTTCTTACTGCTTTCTACCCTGGCCTGGAGGAAGGTGCAAGTGTTTCTCATGCAAAGCTGTGTAAATCCCTCTCAAGGAACATATGTTGGCTTAGAGCAAAACTTTTCTGCCTGCTGGTTTGCTCAGTGGATGCACGCAGGTAAAATACAACCTCATCTGAAAGCTGGTGAGAATATGCAAAAGAAGATTGGTCCCAGTACTCAAAGATAATTTGATAGAGAAGAGAAAAATCTCTCCCCTCCTCAGAGAGGAGCACAAATAGATATTTCAAACAATTCTTTAAGGATCTAAGGTTTCTTATTACTCCTTGCTAACCGTTTTAATTTCTGACCTCTTCTGCTTGACTAGCTGCAGACCTGTTCAATGACCCTTTAGGATTCCGGTGCTGTGATTTATGTCCCAGGCCAAATTTCTTGTGGATTACTGGTATACTGAGCCACTGGCAGAATTTGGAGCCGGCCTCTTTGCTTTCCCTGTGTAGCTTTCTGTACTTCTCATTTAGGCCTGATGGATATAATTTTAACCATTCTCTTTGGCTCTACATAGACATTTATAACACAGTCCCCCATCTCTTACAATGAACAGAAAAGGTCTCAGAGTTGGTTTCATTTCTCTCACAAATTCCTTATGTACTTTTGGCTTGTGTGTGCCTTTTATTTTGATTATGTAGTTGTTTCTTGGTAAAGTGGGAGTCACTACAGAGTGTTAAAAAGTTTTGTTTCTATATTCATTGTGACCTACTTTGCCTACACAGAGAATTATGTTGTTCTCTTCTTTGTATGTCACTTGGGTATGTGAGGATTGCTTGGGTTTTGACTTGTCACTGCTGGTTCAGAGACCTGGCCAAGCTGGAGTTGACTCCAGCAGGGTATGGACTTCACCTGCTTCATCGCTCAGCACTCCCCCTCGGCCTGCGGTGCTGTCGGTGGACTCAGCGAGGGGCTCAGCTCCCCCAGGGCTTCTGCTGGGCAAGGGGTAGCCTCACTTGCCATGTCTCCGTACTTCAGGGTCCTGTCTCACCAGGAAAGAGGAAGGGAGAAGTATAACTAATACCGCAGAACCTTAAATAGATGGCCCCTTTAGACTCCTTACTGGCATAAGGCATATTCAGGGCATGTCTTAAAGTGAAGATGGATCGCTTCAAGTTACCTCCATGTACACATAACTCCTTTTCCCTCCATTTTCATGTTACCTCACTTTTCTTTCCTTCTCTAGACCACTTTCCTTGAAAATTACTGCTGTCAGGTGCTGCAGTGGCCAACCTCGATAGTAAAACTAATACAGGGCCAGCCAGGACTCTCCCTGAACTTGTTGCTACCATGTTGCTGCTTACTTGGGATTTCCCCCAATACGGTTTGATTCTGGGATTTATTCCTATCTGTCTGCAAGCACCTGGGTTGGTTGCATCTGGGTGAGGATGCAAACCCTTCTTTTATTGTCACTGGGAAGGCTGGAAGTGGGTTTATAAATAGTTTTGGCTTTCTAAGAATTTCAGCCTACCCCGATCTTCCTTAGACCTTTACCAAAACCCTGCGTGCACGGGGCAGCTATTTCTTCAGTGACCCGGGAGCGTGGTGCTGTGTATTGTTCAGATCAGAAGAGCAGCACGTGTACGAGGGAACCTTTTTGTCACTATGGTGACGTGCCTACCCTATAGATGCTATTTTTCTATTAGAGATTAAAAACTTATTCACAGGTTCCAAGTTGGAATTTTGCTTCTGTGTGTTCATTTAAGATTTAGCCTGAAGTATTAATACAGAATTTTAAATTGTGTCCTCTCACTGAAATCCAGTGTGGTTACAAGGTTCTAATAAATATTATGTCCTTCCATCATGCAATTAAAATTTTCCACCTCATTTCACAATGCAAAACACTCACATGTTGTCAATCATTTTGAAACATGATTTTTTGACATCATATAATTTCACTTCATTTTTTAGACAGACATCACACCGGGAAATTATATAAGAAAGGATCCTATTATATCTTTATTTTTCCACCAAATTTCACCTTCAAATACAGACATTTGTGTACATTCCAGTAATTCTGACAATAAACTTTCAAGGAGAAACGAATGGCATCTACTTAGCCGGGGATCAGCATATGGAGTTTGCTGCTCTTCAGAGACTGCGGCTCCAGCGCAGGCACCTGGTTAGGAACCGCTGGTGTAGCCACGGGAAGTTTACAAGTCTTTATGCAGGGAGTGAAAAGGTTGCTGCTTGAAACAGATACCACCTGGGAGGCAGGGAGGAAAACATATGCATGTTTTTGAACTTTCCTGTGTTTAACAGTTAGCAGACACTAATGAATTGCCAAACAGCCCTGATTTAAAACGTAGTAGTCAAAAGCAAGGCTACCTGCTGCTTGTCAGGTAGTCCACCTGTTCAAGAAACCAAAGTGCCCCTGCCCTGTGCCAGGAGAAAAGCTGCTGCTGTTTCAAACCTCTGCTCTGGTGTGTGTGCGGGTGTGCGTGTGTGTCTCATTGGGTTACTGCATACCATGTGAGTCAGAAATCCAGCATGCGATAGAATATCTCAGGCTCATTACAGAGGTCTTGTATTAAGCAACAGATTTTGATCGTCGTGGCATGTAAATCTGGGGGAAATTCAGCCTGCAGCACGCAATTTGGAATCTGGGGCCGTGATCAAATACAGGCTGACAAAGTAAGAGAGGAGCCAACCAGGCGTGTAAAAAGCCAAAATAAAACTTTTGGTTGCAGTGAGCAGTGCAGGAGACCAGGCAGCTAACAAACACTGTGCCAGCAAAAGGGACACTGCTGGGGGGAGAACCTGGTGCTCCAGCTACGGGCTGCTCCTTCTCATTCACGGGCAGGTGCGGCCGGCGGAGATCATCACTGAGGTTGTGCCGCTTGTGGAGCAGTCACATGGGCAGAAATGAAGCAGCAAAGCTCATTGTGGTGAACATCTCAGCAGTAGGTAGGCTGCTGTGCCTGAGGGGAAGGAAGGTGGCTTTTTGGGCAGCCGAGATTAAATAGTGGGAAAACCCCGCAGCGCAGCCCCAGTGGAATAAATTGCTGCTGGCTGACGCTGGAGAGCCAGGGGACAGGGCTCTGGTTTCCCTCATCACTCAGGGTGGCCTTGTGGAAATTGGTGATGATCTGGTGGTAAAAGTACAGGGAAAGCAAGCAAGCAGAAAATAATGAAGAAGGAGAGGAGGTTGTTACC